TATTTAACGATGCGGTGTCTATAGGCGCACTACTTAGTAGCCTCTCGCTTGAGAACATCTAAACATAGGTAACTCGGCTTAATCCATCCATGTATCGATTCTATGATAATAGCGAACGAAGATCGTCTGCAATCAAAAGCCGAAAAAATAAAAAGAAATCTCCCATTAAAAGATTTTAGGGCCGACCGCGATTTGAACGCGGGACCTAGCGGAAGCGGATACAGGATGCTGCAGCCGCTTGCTCTACCCCTGAGCTACCGACCCTTTTCATATAATATGTGGTAATTTTAACAAGCTTATGTCAGACATTGTCTTTGAAACGAGAGACACAATTCCGGTTAAATGGTAGATTTGGTTTGAGGCCATTAATATTCTGCTCCAGTAGCCCTGAGAGTTTATTTTGTGGGAGAATTGGGAAACTTGGTTCTGGGCTATAGGCCGTCGTCTCCATCGTTTTTCGTTCAGGTACTTAAGAGAGGACTGCTTGTCGAGTTAGGTTAATTCCAGGTGGTCTGCGTGTCACTTAAGGACCCGACGGGCCGGGTATGCTTTATTGGATGCACTTTGAGTCTTCTGGGCCGATGATGGCGTTCCTTGACTAGATATAGGGTTGTTATATGGTAGGTAGTTGGAGACCATGCTCGCCCGATATATATCTGTCGCGGGTGTAATCGCCGCTCCGCACAGCTTGCTGTGATCGGATGTTCTGCAAGCCTGCCTGGTCAACAGACTTAATATTCTTACATCAGAGAGAAAGCAAAGCAAGCAATATACAATAAAATATTCAGAAACCTATGGAAGTGTAGTTGCAGCCTGGAGCCTGAGGGCCTGCGCGCCCGGACCGACATAGCCTCCACTGGGCTGAAATTACGTATTTCCAATTTCGGTCTTAACCCCGCCAACCTCCCCATCCTACCGTACACACCTTACAGGCTTACATATGTAGGTAGCAGCACGAATGCTGGAAGCTCCCAACTGGTGATTTCAGCCCCTTCTAACCCCCAACGCCTCTCCTCCAGCACTCGCCATGGATAAACAACCGCCCAGTTCGTTTCAACAACTGGAGAAGGTAAGATCCTGAATACTTCTGAGCTTGAATACCGGAATTGACTAACGAGCAAAAGTTGGGCGAGGGGACATACGCGACCGTACGTTATGCGCCTTCCTTTCATCGCAAGCTTCTATCGACCCGCCCTGCGCCTATGATTAATTCTAAGACTAACGTCCGCAGGTGTTCAAAGGGCGAAACCGACAGACAGGCGAGCTCGTCGCTCTGAAAGAAATCCACCTCGATTCCGAAGAAGGAACACCGTCGACGGCCATTCGCGAGATCTCGTTGATGAAGGAGTTAAAACATGAGAATATCGTATCCCTTTATGATGTGATTCACACGGAGAATAAGCTCATGCTCGTGTTCGAATACATGGACAAGGATCTGAAGAAGTACATGGACACGCGAAGCGATCGGGGACAATTAGACCAAGCGACAATCAAGTCGTTTATGCACCAACTGATGAAAGGCATTGCCTTCTGCCATGAAAACCGAGTACTGCACCGTGATCTCAAGCCGCAAAACCTATTGATCAACAAGAAAGGGCAATTAAAGCTGGGAGATTTCGGGCTGGCTCGCGCGTTCGGCATCCCCGTGAATACGTTCTCCAACGAGGTCGTGACCCTTTGGTATCGCGCTCCGGACGTTCTTCTCGGCAGCAGGACATACAACACGAGCATTGACATCTGGTCGGCTGGCTGTATCATGGCTGAACTGTACACGGGCCGACCGCTGTTTCCCGGAACCACCAACGAAGACCAACTGCAGAAGATTTTCCGTCTCATGGGGACGCCATCCGAGCGATCATGGCCCGGAATCTCCCAGCTGCCGGAGTACAGGTCTAGTTTCCATGTATACGCAACGCAAGATCTTGGCCTCATTCTTCCCCAGATCGATCCGCTCGGATTAGATCTCTTAAACCGAATGCTTCAATTACGGCCGGAGATGCGGATCAGTGCACATGATGCGCTCCAGCATCCGTGGTTCCGTGACCTTCCCCAGCTGCAGGCACAGTTGCAGCAACAGCAGCACACGCAACAAATGGCCGGAGCCTATGGAGGAATGATGCCACCGCAACAAGCCTATTGATTGTTCCGTATCTTTTTTTTTCTCGTTTGCCCTTTTTTTTTTTTTTTTTTTTTTTTCTCTCCCCGTCTATTTTGTTTGCGTGCGCCTAGACCGTGGACGTTCCTTTTTTATTGTTAGCAAGGCATGACGACTCGACGAAAGGTCCTTTTAGATACGGAGGCACGGCGTTCGACAGGGTATCTAATTGACCATTGATATACTTAGCATTTTTTCTATCAAACGCGTCAGACTTCATCAGATCCAATGCCAAGGTCTGTGTAGGTATCTTCTCTCAAAATCTTTGATTTACTCTTGAATAGCGGACTGGCATGAAACGCCAACAATCAACCATACAGCTGCATGGACTGTCAACCAGTCCATGCTCATCCAAGGAATTCCAGGGCAGTTGCTTTTGGTTGTAAATGACGTGGTCGAGAAGCTGTTATTATTGGCTAGGCATCGGTGCATGATCAGATTCGGGGAACTTTGAAGCGAATCCTTCCTCCAATAAGCGTCCTTCCAGCCATTCCTTGCTGCTGCTCCGGTCAAAGGTGATTGATCACTTTCTGTCTGACCCTGGATGCTGTACTCCGGTCCGCTTCTGAGCTGTCCTTTTCCTACCCTTGTCGATTTAGCCGCGGACTGTACGGAGGTGTGCACCAAAAGTTTGGGCGCGTGTCTATTGCTCATCACGTGACCTCCGTCCAATAGGGTGACAGGCTCATGAGCACCCTGGCTTGTTATTGGTTTATGGTCACGTGACCATGCCCCACATAGCGCCAAACTTTTGGTGCACATCTCCGTACACTGTCAATGTTCGCTATTTTGTCTCAGCATCTAGGTCATCCGCAAACTCGGGTATACATAGAATGGAGGAGGCCTCACACCTGCGGCCAAGTTGGCCAACTTATGCGCACTCGGGCCTCCCTTTATAGAATCCACACCACTACTATTGAATCCACCGCGCTCCCCAGTTCCGTGATTGAATATTTCCCTTGGTTCGGAGGCTAACAATTCCTCTGGTTGACCGTATTTGGTCCGACGGACTCGTATCCACGTCTGAAGCTGCATGCAGCCATTGCATTCATCCCAGAAGAGCTCCGATCCAAGGGGAGACTCGTACCAAGGGCTTAAAATAATATGATATATGGACCTAATAATTCCCTCTTGCACGCACGCCTAGGAGCTCCCTTGATGAGCCAGTGACCCCCCCTCCACCAGATCCCTCGTCCTGGGCTGCGAGCTTATCTTCTTCGCCCTCCGGCTTGTTGACTTCTTGACGCCTGAGATGTAAACGTCCATCTCTATTGCCAATCATGTCGCCATGCCGCTGTCAACAAGCCAACTTCATGCTATTTCGGTCACGGAACGCGCCTGCTCTACCGTCTCTCTGCTGGCGACCAGCATAATCGTCGTTTCCTTTCTCTCCTCGCAATTATTTCGAAAGCCTATCAATCGCCTGGTGTTCTATGCTTCCTTTGGTAATATCATGGCCAATGTAGCTACGCTAATCTCACAGTCCGGTATCCGCGCGGGCACCAACAGCGGTCTATGTCAAATCCAGGCTTTCTTGATACAGTGGTATGTCGGTTTATAATGTCTGCAGGACATAGTTTCAGCTTGCTGGTCGTGCTGACACTGTCAGGTTTATGCCCGCTGACGCTTTATGGACCTTCGCCATGGCATTCAACGTCTATCTCACGTTCTTTCGAAAATATAACTCGGAGCAATTGCGACGATTGGAATGGAAATATTTTGTGATATGTTATGGCCTGCCTTTTATCCCTGCGTTTTTATACTTTTTCATAAAGAGCCGGTCTCGGGGCAAGATCTACGGCTCGGCTATAGTATGTATATGTGTTTCCCAATTCTGACCGTATGCTAATGCAACACAGCTCTGGTGTTGGATTGCACCATCTTGGGACTTTCTGCGCCTTTCTGTTTTCTATGGACCCGTGTGGCTAGTCATTTTGATGACGTTGGCCATCTATGCGCGTATAGGTAACCTTATCTGGCGAGGGAGGCGACAGCTCAAGGAAGCCGGCGGACTCGATACCACAATCGACGTTTCTATCCCCGATGAACATCCTTTCTCCATGACTATGGAGATTCGAATCACAAGAGAAGATGCAACGCCAATGAGCCTTGACGCAGTCGGCCCCTCTCTAGATTTTGACTGCATTCAGCCGTCCCTTCGTCCATACTCGGTTAATGTAGAGGCCGGCATCGCGCGGCCCTGTCCGGTGCAGCTGGAACCGGTTCGCAGCGAACCTCTTGCAAATCCTCCGGATCCCAACCGGTACTCCACTGCCCCGATAGCGTCCGAGGTAAACGCCGCGGCTTGGGCGTATACCAAGTATGCCATGCTATTCTTTGTCGCGTTGCTGGCTACCTGGGTATGTTATGACCCGTCTTGCCTCTTAGTTTCATATATCATTCAGCAGCTAACGAGGAGAAGGTGCCTTCAACGATTAACCGCGTCCATGCCTTAGTTCACCCCGATACGCCTGTCTTCGGGCTAAATTATGCATCGAGCTTTGTCCTTCCACTGCAGGGATTCTGGAACGGCATTATATACATATCTATATCATGGCGTTGTTTCAAATCGACGTATGGCAATCTCCGTACTGGATCTTCCCGCGCTGTATACCCTGGTGCTGGTCACTGGCGTCCATCGAGTGGGAACGAGAGCACTCGGGGGTTGACAGATTAGTGGCTAAGATCATATCTTTGTGTCCTTTCCATTACATGTGAAATAAACTAGCGACGATAGAGCACAAATAGTTGATTGTTGCATTGTCTCGCTCATGAAAAAAATATGGGCAGTCTTCATCTCGAAGTATAAAAGCACGTGATCAACACGTATCCTAACTTGACCGCGCATTTAATTCCTACCTACTACCTTCGTACGACAATCACGACCTTCAAACCAAATAAAACTGCACCCATTAGCTTAACCCAAGACACGCCGCGCATTCAAACCCAAACCACCATAAAAGACAACAAGAAAAGAAAAAGAAACAAAAGATGACCTCAAATCCCCCAACCGACCACTCCCCCTCTCCGCCGCCCAAACCACCAATCCCGCAAACCCCGGGCCCTCGCGTCACGCGTCTACAAGAGATCTACGCGCAGGCACTCGCCC